GCATTTCTGGGTGCCTCCTCCCCGTGACACCCTGGCCCTGGGCTCAACGCCCAGGATGCCTAGGGACCGGGGAAGGAGGTCAGCTGCTTTTGGGAAACTATTGCTTTAAGTCTTTGCCTTCATTGCGGCTCGTCTCTGGTCAGATAAAGGCCAGAAAACTAGCGTTACACAAGTGTTATAGTATATGTAATGCACCGGTGACAATCAACACTATGGCTGGAATGCGAAGGACTGCGTGAATGACTTGTTTGTAACAACTTAACTGTATATCCGCTAAATCAAGGGTTTATGTCGATACTCGAACTAAAACCAAATTTCCCGCCAAGAATGTTCTGCCCCGATCCAATAGGATCCGACCTTCCGCTAGCGATCCGCCAGCGGCCGCTAGATCCGCAGGGTACGGCCGATCCATGTTCCGCGGTACCGGCCTCTCTCTCTCTATGAGACTGCGACTATGGTATACGGTTGCCCGTAAAGCGCATTACTAGTCTAAATTGATACGAAACTATAGTCAGTTTATCCTACTTATTACTTTTTCTAATCTTTAGTTCATTCGCTTATCTAGTTTCCTATTCTAACCGCAGTACTTTGTAGTGCGAGTGCACTACAGGCAGAGCAAGCCAGCCCCACGCGTGCACTAAAGGAAGCTTCAGGGGAGCTTCCTTTGCTGCATGCTTTGCCTCGTAACGAACTTGTATAACGTTTGCAGGCGCTTACGCGCAGCATGCCAAGGCCGTTGATAGGCTCCTGAGCTAACTCTGCGCTAACTCATGTTACAGCTAGCGGAAGGTCAAGGTCAAGGTCCGAAAGGCGAGGGCCGGAGGATTTTTCGGAAGACAATTTTATTGAAATATTAAAATTCGAACAAGAACTTTGTCTTAAAATTTGTTGAAACGGGAAATTTGAGTCGAACTAGTCGAGATTTGTGGTTAGGTACAGCTAGGAATACAGGCTGAGGTCATTACACTCTCTCTATGAGACTGCGCCTATGGTATACGGTTGCCCGTAAAGCGCATTACTAGTCTAAATTGATACGAAACTATAGTCAGTCTATCCTACTTATTACTTTTTCTAATCTTTAGTTCATTCGCTTATCTAGTTTCCTATTCTAACCGCAGTACTTTGTAGTGCGAGTGCACTACAGTATACATCCGGTCGTGTCATTGACTAGAGGTGAAATCCTTCATATTCCACGTATGCTCGTCATTACATTTAAAAATATGTTAAATATACCAGGAACAACTTTGTTCGTCGTCCTTCCAGTGATAGGGCACTGCGTTGCCTTGTTTCCAGCGAGCCCTGGATCTGCCTTGCAGAATCGCAGGCCATTGCAAGTAGCGGGCGAATTGCATTGCTTACACGGGTTCCTATCGCCAAATAAATCGAAATGGTCTCACTTATGCTATTTATTTATTACGTGTGAAGTTAGGAAGCCCGTATATAGACATTTCTAGTAAACCAGGAGGTACCCTGCTGAACCCCAGGGGATGTATTACACTGGGCATGGCCAAGGCGCCTTTCCTCGTAAATTATGTGCCTATTGTGAGGACTCTTGCCTGTCTAGAACACTTAGACAGTTTTCTTGCCCGTATTTATGTGGATCAATTGCTGTGGGAGGGAAGTCAGAATCGTTTCTGGATAGAAACGGTAGGCAGTAAAAATGGCAAGTAGCAGACCTGAAAGCTGCTACAACTATTACCTACGCAGCGCAGCGAGGTTGGTAGCTAGCGTAGGCGGAAGCGTGCGACTTCGGGGTAGGCGTGTAACCACATTATAAGATGCATCTAAAATACTTTGTATCTTCGTATTTTGCCTGCATAATTACCAACTTTGACGATGTTGTCTTTACTGCTGCTTGTCTTGACCTCAACGGCCGTCCTCGCCGCTCCGGTTGAAAGGCCTCTAGACGGTATCCCTGGGGAGCCTCATTTACACTCCCAAAGCGCTCCTCAAAATATTTATGGGGTAAATGAGCCCAATGACAGCTACCAGCTTCATGCCCGAGCGAAACAAGCGCGTCCGTACCTCGGCCACATCTCAGCTGCGTGTATGGTACTGGCCATTGCATACTTCGCGCGCAGCATTACGAGATACCGGAAAATTAAAGCTGAAGGAGACGACGTCGATGAACGGTCTGTGAGTCGCTGTTGGGAGCGCAGACGAGCACGCCGACGTTACCGTTGCGACCGCGCAGTTCAGTCTGCGTTAGATTCAGCTGTCGAGACATGGTTCGCTGCGGGCAGTGGGAGAGCTGTGCATTCATTCGCAGCTGGATTAATCGCTTCTATAATCGCCCACTATGGGATCGTGCCCAGAAATGCATTATGAGGAATCCGTTGCGGCAGCATCCATATCACACCTGAAAATGAGCAACCAGCCGCGGTAGTTCAGATGGACGGAGGCAGACGTTAAATCTTGTAGCAGCATGTTTAGCTTCCTTTTGATTACATCGCCTTTGGTTCTTACGTGGGGTTGCCGTGCCGCTTTAATGCACCTCCGCGTTGTCTCTTCCTAGCGACTCTAGTCTCGACGGGGGGGGAAACGCTGCCATTTCAAGGCCTTCCAGCAAACGGAGGGGTCAACGACTGCAGACAAACCTGCACATCAACGTGGCTTTCTAACTGCTTAACAGCCGAGGAGTTTCAAAGACCGCTGAAGAGACTTGCGCCTCGAGCGACTTCCACAAGGACACATGCATGGTGCTACATACATTCTAGTGTCCCGTGCACACTGCTGTGTTGCTGTCCCCTCGGTACTGATGAAGGGCCCACGCATGCTCCAAGCACTGCACACAGCGTACGTGGAGGTACGTGCTTCTTGCAGACCTTTTTCCAAGTGCAATTGCTGCATGTTGAGGCGGCATATGCGGGTTTTCCGGCGATGCGCTTGCTGGTTTGCGGGCTGTTGCTTCTGCACATATTGCCAAAGGCATTGGGGGGTTTGCCTAGGGCAAGGCGTTCAGCTCTGGAAAACGAACACATCTGTGCCACACTCATAGCATACACCGTGGGCGGACGGATGCGGCTCTGGGCAGTTGCGGGCGAAGCGCTTGTTGGTGGGTGGTCTGTTGCTTGCCCACGTTATATCACCAAGGGGCCAGAGGTGTTTGCCTACGGTGAGGAGTTCAGGTCAGGA